GAACCCATTTGGGAAGTGGTTTCAGCAAAAGGCAGAAGTCTATCATCGAGATTGTTGGCTCTTGTCCAAAAGGCTCGGACTTGAATTGGTTCACGATTGTTTCGGGGGTCTAACGTTATCCCCATGCTAAATACTGCAATAACTTCGCGCACGCGCTTAGGTAAGCGCGTGCAGGTCGTTTCGATGGCGCCAGCGCGTCGTCTAGCCCAGGTGCTGGTTATATGTTGCCTTGTTCTTGGTTTTTCCCCCCACTGGACAATACGTAAAGCTACGCCGAGCATCGCTGTGAAGCAGATATCGGAATGTCGCTGCCCTGCCGAAAAACGCTCAATGTCAGTCATTCTTTTGAATGCGTATCGAATATATGCCAGCTCATCGCTGGTTTATCTGGCAATGTTGGGACATCGTGGAGGCAAAAGGAACGAGAACGACCGATTTTCTACTGGGGATCTTACGAATAGGCTCCAAGGTCAATGAGAAACGTGGAATTTTTGAACGCGTCACTGGTATAAATAATGTTATCTGACGAATTTGTCGCCGAGTTCTTTGTCAGTAGTTCATTTGTATGTTTTTGGTAGGTGTCGCCGACCCGTCGAACGATGCATCTAACCTTGACGCACATTTTATGAGGAACGTAGCCGAGGCTGAGGACACCACCACGGGCGCAATGGGACTAGACGGCATGGCCCACTCGTTTAGTGGGGTCAATCCACGCAACATTATAGTGTGAGAGGACCTTGAGTAGGTCTTCTGTGCTATCAGCCGAATAGACGTTTTCCCAGCCAGCCGAGTCCTCATGAAGCTTAAGACAACCTGTCGTCGCGCCTTTGGTTGCAGATTGTGTGTACTCTGCCGTGATGATGGCTTTCTCCCTCATTCTTAATCCGTCGGCCACACATCGAACAGCCCCGATTGCTTGACTCCATTTCGATGAGGCTGTCGATTAACTTAAAGTGCGAGCGAGGTGATGAAGCGCGACTCGGAGACGAGTTGTCCCCATGGCCTTTCTTGCCTTTGTTTAATTTGGCACAGGCTAATAGAAGACGCTGAAATTCAATTAAAGAGCGATGAGAGGGCGGCCATCGGCGGCTCGCAGACATGTAATTGGAAGGAAAGTATGGGACGAACAATCACGTTTCGCACATTGCGTGACGAACTTTCATTTCATTCTTCACGATGGCTACTACGATGGTGCCGATCTATGTTTCGGGGTGTTTGGCTCCTCTTCGGATGCTTTGGTAGACAGACTGGCTCCAATGGGGTTCGAACTTCTGTGGTTTTTCCCCCCTTCATCTGGAACCATTGGATTATGCGACAAGTCCTGCTATACATAGATAAGCCCATGCTATGAGTTGATGAGCTGATTAGGAATGCGCGAAAGGTAAGAGCGAGAGGAGGATGTGTAGTGTGGTCGAGGACGGCGAGATTGCAGGGTGAGATAATGCGAAGAACGCGTTGCTGCCTAAGTGGACATGGGAACCAGGCAAGGGGTAAATTCATCGCTGGCCAACGTTACATCCAAGGTGCCCGGGAAGGCCATCTGGCTCCTGGTTTCTGATGAATTACTCCAGCTGGTGCGAGACAGTTAGCAAAATGCTAAGCACTGTTGATTGGAGCTATTTAAATGGGTCGTTTGGGGAAACTTGGTGGGGTAATGGTGCTTGAAAGGTTTTGGGTCACATGGTCATCAAATTAGGTTTTTCTCACGGTTTCAAAACGCTAGTGCGAAGATTCGGGTAGCTCTGAATTCTCTTTAGGGCTAAAATCGTGTCATCTACCGTAAACTGGGCTTAGTCGCTTACGTTGGATGAACTTCTCTTGTACCTTTGCGCTATTTGAAGCTGGCTGCCTTTTGTT